TGCTACTTCGGCTACAGTAATTTAATTTTCATTTGCTTTTGTCCTCATATGTGCTTTCTATGCAGGGCTAGTGGTGAAACTTTATCCCATTTATTAATCCCCTGTTCATTTGTGCATTGCATTTGGGAGTATTTTTGTTCTCTCTTTGGTTGCAGGTGGGATCCCCCTCAAGATGTGGTTGGTATTTTTAGTCCTAACTTCTTGAGACAACTGAAGAAAAGTGGGCGGATAATGTGGAGAGCAGTTAAGGCATTAGTAATTTGGGAAGAGAAAAATTTGAGAATCTTCAATGGAAAAAGTAGATAAATGGAAGAAGTAATTGACAGCATAAAAATAAATGTTGCACATTGGGTAAAGATGGTGGAAGGCTTTCAGGTCATTCTCAATAAATGAAATAATAAGAGCTTGGATGCGGGTGGCATATTCATCTAGAGAAAAAGACTGGATAATCATGGAACGGAAACCTCCAGAATGTACCAATTTTAAAATGGATTTTGATGGAAGCTCCATAGGCAATCTGGGATTGGTAGGAATAGGAAGCGTTTTCAGAAACTTTGAAAGTAGGGTGATGGCCTTATATTTAGGGCTTATTGGAGTTGGAAACTCTGTGAAAGATGAATTGATCTCACTGTTGCAAGGTCTTCAATTGGCAAAGCAACTGGGATACCGACAGTTGGAGGTGGAAGGGACTCTAAGATACTTATTTCATGGGCAAGATGTAGCAGTCTTATTCCGTGGACTTTTAGGCATGCCTAGTATCTCTAAGGGACTAAATGTTGAATTTAAGAGGGTTAGAAGGACTGCAAATGGGATGACTGATACCCTTGCTAAACAGGGGTTCATGAGACAACTCTTTTGGGCTTCACTGTAAATTTGTTTGCCTTTTGGGTTGACAGTTTATCCATCATTTTGTACTAGTCTCTTTTATCTATTAATAAAATAAATACTTTCTTGCTGATAAATAAAACCACTTATGCTATGAAATAGAAAATCCACATGCATGAAAGTCAGTAACAAGCTATATTTACATGTGGAATTTCTGTTTCATAGAACAGCAAGGCAGTGGCATGTTATATCTACAAAAAGGTAGTGGGTCCTTTTTAGTTGATATAGCATGGCTTGTTACAAAGAAGGATCCTGCACTTGCAGAGATTTTTTGTAGTGAGCCATGTAAGGAGACAATTTTTTTCGATAAGCGGTAAAAGTGTATGTATTAATTAGTATTAAAGGAGGGCGAGAAACCCTCATATTTGTACAAAAAGATGTCTGTATGTCTATTCACAAAACATACAATAAGGATTTCAAAAAATGATTGAACCTCAATTATCTCTAAACATTGAAGCTTTAACACCCTTAAAAAGATTACAGGAGCAGGTCCAATTCATCAAGGACCATTTTCTGTTTCTTTCTTTCCAAACTGCCCAACAGATAGCAGCAGGAAGGATTCTCCAAAGAAGCTTCCCTTCAACAGAAAATGCATTAAATCTCCAAGCAGAGAGCATATCTGCCATGGAGGGTGCCATGGCCCAAGATATATGGAATAACTGCGAGAAGTGGCACCAAACAGAATGGGTGCCATGTAATAAGACAATAATTCAAACATGCTTTTTTAGCCTGGTCTTATACAAAAACTAAATAATAGAGGTTGTCTTTTCTTGGTGGTACAACTATGATGAAAACTTTTCCAAGAATTCTGTTAAGTGGGTGTAGAGATTTGTTAGCAGCTGGAAAAGAACAATGAGAATTCTTTCTAATTATTAACTGTATGAATCATTTGGTTCAAAACCATTAGTGTTGTTAACTTTGATAACCAAAAATTCAGTCTATGAGAAAAATGCTGATATTTGGTGCTCTCTTTTCTGAGTAGAATCATCTTTTTGATCTAATCTTAGTTTGTGTGATATTCTCTTATTGTATTGTGATTTCCCTTTTTAATCTCTACTTGGATCAAAAGGGTCCCTTCTAGCACTTCCCCAAGAATATAACTATTCCAGTGATTACTGAACTGTTTTCATTTGGCTGGTGTTCAGGAAATCACCTCATGTATGATAAGAAATTTCAGTAATAGTCATCATTGGTGGTCCTGAATTTGATCCTTAGACCCCGGATCCATTGTTCTCTACATGTATGTAGGTGGGTGGAGTGGGGAGGTCCAATGCTCCAAATCTCAATGCCTTTGACTCATTTCTCTGCCTTTTCTCCACTTGTCTCTCTCTCTACCTTCCTTTTGCGTGCTTGTGCATGTAGACATGTGTATGCACATACAGGTGCTTGTTTATATTGTAGAGGATAGGGGTATACTGCTGTTGTACACATGCACAACACATGAGCTTGCTCTGGTGATGCCCTAAAACCATTGAGCTTTTCACATTTAATGTTCTGATGATTTAACCAAGCTTCACTTTACAATCTGGTGGTTCTGGTCACTTTAATCTGAGCACCTCCCTTAATACAGTGAACTAAATCAACTAGCTTAATCGTATGATGGTGTTTCATCTCCACAATACGTTTGGTGATGCTTTCAAGTTCTGTTTACTTATCAAAAAAAAAAAAAAAGCTCTCAAGTTCTGTTAGTATGGGATTATAAAATAGAGATGCTGAATGGGGTTGAAACTTGAAAGGATGTCTTCATTTGCACAACAAATTTCAGCATTTATGTGTCTTGGCTTACACTACACAAAGCCTTGAAACAGATTTCCATCAATCATATTTTGAGCATGCACATGCAACTCTTTGTATGTGGGGGAGGGGAGGGGGATTGCATGAATTTGCTGTAATTAGGATGGTTTGTTTTTCTGTTCCCCTATTTATAATCACTCACTGTTCAGGGGCTATACTTGTACCTGTTGCTTTCATACTTGTTAAATGAATCATTTTATTTCCTCAAAAAATGTTAATTATAGTCTGTAGGCTGATTATTTTGTCCATGTTTCTTCTACTCTTTTTGGAAGGAAACTGGATCAAATCTTGCTGATGGTGGAAAAATGCAGCTTCAATCAGTTGTTTCATTATTTGAGTCTCAGTGGAGCACCCTGCAGATGGTTGTACTGAGAGAAATATTGCAGGCTTCTATTCGTGCTGGAGATCCTCTTGCTGCATGGAGTGCAGCAGCTCGTCTACTTAGATCTTATTACCCTCTTATCACTCCTGCTGGTCAAAGTGGACTTGCAAGTGCCCTTGCAACTTCAGCAGAGCGGCTTCCTTCAGGAACTCGCTGTGCTGATCCTTCCTTACCTTTCATAAGGTATTTTCCAGTTATATTAAAAGCAGTAATTTTTCTCTTAAAGGTGCATTTATCTCTCTCTATAAGATGGACATAAGCTGTATTTTGATGTAAATGTCAAGTAAGACAAAATCTTTGTTGTAAAAGGGGCAAAATCTCAACTTGTCTCAACTCAACAAAGCTTTTCCATACTATGTAGGGTCAATTACGTTAATAGATACTTTTCTACAATTCTGCATTGTTCAGTGAACATGTTTTTTTGGTAAGATACAGACCAAGAAGAAATTGGTAAACCAAAGCTCAACTTTGATTGTTTCTACTTAGCCAATCCAGGTCTATCTGGATATGGAGGAGTGATCAGAAATGATGAAGGGGAATTCCTATTTATTTACTTCAGACCAGCTGGAGACGGAGATTTTGAAGGCTGAAACATTAGCACTTGTCCATGGTCACAGGCTGAGTAGACCAATTGGCTGGACTGATTTATCCATTAAAGGTGACTGCCAAATTGTGATTGGATGGTTTGCATCAGAAGAGCAAGGCCTGTGGAGCCTAATCAAGCTACTGGTATCCACAGTGAACCACTTGTTCAAATGGATTCCCAGGTCTGCAAACTACCTAGCATATATGCTAACCAGGGAGGGAGTGAACAAAGTTTTGTTGGACTGGGGTATGCCTGTTCCTGGGAGGAACTTGTACCAACACTACTTTTAAAGGCATACAACTATCTTGTCAGCTCTGAGCTATTTGTCCATGTCTTTTGTCCTGAAATCCTTTCTGGAATGTATGGTCTTTTACATATTAATAAAGTTTCTGTTACCGATAAGAAATGCTTTGTTCAGTTAACATATTTCTTGGTAAAAGCGACAAAAATATAGCTTAATTATTTCAATCCGATAAATTTCCTTTGATTTTATGTTTGGTTAAATAGAGATTGAGGGAAAATTTATCTTTATGAAATTGAAATTGTTCTTGTTATGGCTAGGGGCCATTGTTTGGTGTGATGGTAAATCTCAGGCTTGATTTGGAAGGAGTCCCATTGTGCTAAAACTCTGGAGGTTAGGTCTGAATTCAATTCATCCCTCCAAAAACCATGTGTAGCTACACATTTCCAAGTGAAAGTACCTTCATTTTGGAGTTTGCTACACATTTCCAAGTGGATTTCAAGTTTCTACACATTATATCAGGTTAGGTGAATAGAAAAATGATGTGATCATCATTATTTTTTCCATCATTTTTTTAGGGAGATGGTGGTGGTGTCAAACCTAAACAGCTTTTCTCTATCTGGCAACTGAATTGCACTACAGCCTCTGCCCCATGCCATTGGAACAGATTGCCCAACACATTAGCAACAAAAAGGTTAGAACCCAATCCAAGACCCTAGGAATGCATTGTTGAACTCCTGCAATCACTGATTGAATTCAGCACTGGAGCATTAGCAGCTCAATCAACTACATGACTCCTGCTTCACCATTTCGTTCTGTTCAGTGCCATATCCATTGTTAAATTATGAGCTTTTAAATCATTCCTTACTAATTAAGCCTATGTCCTTTTTGGTCTTCCCTTTAGCCCCTTTAACTTGCAATAGATCTCTTCTTCTTATGGGTACTGTAGATTGTTTTCTATACTGCTCTGTGCATATGCTTAAGTATTTAATTCTGGTTTAGGGGAATAGTTTTATTCATTAGTGTTAGTATTGGCTGCCAATGGTCACTTGTATGGCCTACTATTGGAAAACTGAATGTTTGCCAAACTCTTAAAACATTTAGAGGATCTTTTCTGAAAAATTGAGTGCAATGGTATGAGAACAGAAATCTTTATTTTTTTCTCCCCATTTTTTTAAGAGTCCAGGTATTTAGTTTCTCCTGGATATTTTGGAATGGTGGATTTTGGAGTAAAATTTTGGACTGGTTCTTTTTCCTTTGTCACATTTAGGTTAAGGATGTAACCTGGAATTGAAAATATTCCGATTTAAGCAGATTAAAAAAATTAAATTCTTTGTTGTGTGTATGTGTTTATGTGTGTTTGGGGGGTGCTCGCGTGCCGGGGTGGGGGGTGGGGGCTAGTGGCTAGTCATATTGGAATAACTATCTTGGCAGTCCAAAATTCTTTAGGGGTAATCGGCTCCTTTCTTGGAGGGAATCTGAAAATCCATGAATTTTAGTTTCTATTTGTGTACCTTGACCCAAAAACAGCCTTGCCTTTTTTTTTAATAGATAAACCTTAAAAGAAACTTTTACTGAAGAGATTCAAAAGATAGCAATACAAGAAACCTAAAGGGAGGTGCATGGTGCTACCTCGCAACAGGTACACAAAATAAAATTACAATTGAGCCCAAAAGAGATGTTCCCTATTCACCTTTTGTTTGGCTAAACAATCAGCCATCCCATTAGTTCATCTTCTTTCCCCACTGTATTTTTAGAGTCATGCCACTTGTGAGCCATTTGAACCTCTTCATTTCATCCTTATATGTCCAAATCACAGTCTCCGGGTCCAATAGCCTGAAAGGGATGGTAGGATCCATCATATGGACGCCAAAACTGTTGTGGAATGGGTGGGCGAATTTCAAAAATTTCCTACCTTCCTTCCAACTGGGAATCACATTCCCTGATTTTAGAATCAAGATTCAAGGATCCTACTTGAATCAGAACCGAACCAGATCTGAACCAAAAGAGAAGGGGGTGATTATACTTGATCCAGAGAAACAATATCTCCCAAAGTTGGTGTTTACGCCCAAAGAAGACACCAAGATCTGCTCCTGCTGAAGATGACACAACAACTGTGGAACAGAACCAGCTGAGTGCGTCCTACACACTGAATCCTTCACAAGAATTCTTTGGAAACAATGAGCACCGAACTGAATCAGCCTTTCAGCAAAGACTGATATCAAGAACTCTTTCTTGATCTTTCCCTCACAGAGAAATCGAACTGCAGTAGATGGCAGCGGCTACTGAAGGAGAAGGTTAGAGAAAAAGGTGGCGAACTGCTTTTTCTTCTCTAGGGTTTCTGAGATCCTATCTCAAAGCTGCAGAGTGTTCTGCGAAATCCCTAGGGTTCGAATTCTTGTAATTCGAATTAGGG